AGACTCCAGTACCGAAAAGAGACCTCTCAACAGGGCAAAATTTTGTGGCACCAGTATTACGAAAGAATCAGATATCTGTGGAGGAAACTATTTCGACCACTTCAAATTCAGAAATGAATTTACCGAGTCCAACAAGTATCACTTCTTCTATACAAGAAAGCCCAAAGCTTTACCAAAATTATGGCAGTGAACAGAAAGTTTAATATCTGTATTTATATAATAAATATCACATTCAAGAAATACTTGGTAATCAGATTGAAGTGATAAGCATATACTCTAATTATGGATATTAATGAGCTGATTGTGCAATTTAGAAAAATTACAACACAAATGATGTATATTTTTAAAACGTTTTATATGCTAAGTTAGCGCTCTTATAATTTAAAAGAAAAATTGCAAAATACTACTTTGACATCACTCTCTCTACTTATGTTTATAATTGTATTTATGAATTCTTTATTATCACACAATGCTTAACAATATGTGATAAATATATAAAAATGATTATATTTAATATAATTTACATAATAAGTAGATAATAAGAATTACACATAAAAAAAAGGCTTATTTTTAAAGGCTTACTCTAAATAATTAATAAAAATATCTCATTTATAAACAAGATGAATAATTAGACTTATCATTTAAAATCTGATAGTACAAAAATGTCCATTAACCATATTTAACACATTTTAATACTATAACTCTATTGTGTACATGCATGTGTGCATTATGCACGTCTGAAGAGTGCGTGCACGCATTCGAGCTTATAATTATACATATTTTACATAGAAATTTTAATATACATTTCTTTATTATTCTGTATTATTCTTTAATACAGTAATATTCATTTCTTTATTATAAATAATAATATAAATATTCTTATATGGAAATTCGGAAGTTCTTGTAAAATGTACATATCAGCCTTATTTATTGTTACATTGATAGCAATAATCTAGAATTTTGGTACATTGGTTATTTTTGAAAAAACACAATATTTGATATAGAAAGTATAGTTAAGCAGGACGTTTTATTTGCAGTGTAAGAGTTATATATAAAAAAATGTATCTATAATATTCTCTATATATCTATTTTTTATTTTGTTTCTATAAGGAAGTAATACATTACCATATAA